TAAGAGAAGATGCTACTGATGAAGGCAGGTCAGGGGGAACGCCTGGGATTTTTGTGCCCTTGTTGGAGTTGAAGCCAAGCTCCCCATCCTTCCCCTGTGACTCCACACACACACACACACACACACACACACACACACACACGTTCTTCACACCTTCCAGTTCTGCCTTCCTACTGGCCTGACCTTCAGAAGGTCTGGAGAGCCCTTGGGAATGCTCTCCTTTCAGAATCACCTCAGCCCTTTCTCCCGGCTGTGAAAGAAGAAGGAGACGGAGAAGAGAAAGGACCAAAGGAGACAGGGGAGAAATGGCCACATGAGCCTGCCAGAGAGTCCCTTCTGCCATTGGATAGGCAGTGCACTGGGCTTGGACGAGACCTGGGCCCTTTTTCACCCTGCAAGGGGACAGCGGGGGCCTTTCTTTGAGAAAGAAGTCTGTTTCTCACTGCCTCAGCTCCAGTTCCTGCTGGACTTTGCTGCCACCTAGTGGCCCAGTTGGCATCTCTTCCTCCTCAGAGAGATACCAGCCTAGGGATCTGGCTTCACTCGCAGGCCTGAGGCAAAGAGAAGAGCCTTCTCTGAGACGTTTCTCTGCCCTTGGACACCCTAATCCTGTGGCCCAGCAGGTTGGAAGAGAGGAGCAGCACAGGTTTAGAACCTCATCCAGCTTCATAGGTGTCCTAATGCCATGTCCACCAGGAGGGCTAGGGCTGCCTGGTTGAGCACCGGGGAGTGGGGATGGGAACAGTTTCTTACTCCCAGGATGTCTCTGGTGGGATGCAGTTCTCCCGGAGCTCCCCTCGTTCCTGAATGCCCTTTTCATTAGAACTCCTGCCCCTCCCATGACCCTTCTTCATCTGGCTAAGGCCCACGTTGCAAAACTGAGGCTCCTGCATAATATATATGTATATTTCCCTCTGTTTTCCCAAATTTAAGGCCGTTATTTCTCCCTTATAACGTTAGCTCGTTTCCATTAAAAATATAAGTAAGATTATATGCTCTCTCTGTGATGCTGCTGCTATGAACCAGTCCCTGGGAATAGTGAAAAGGGGGTATACTATCACATGTAGATCATCAACCATATTTTTCTGCATATTATATCCTCATGTTTATTTCTTCTAGCAAAGGAAAACACTTGGTTTCAGCAACCACTGATCCTACCAGCTCCAAATGTTCAGATCTGAACTACAGTACCCAGGGATCATATAAAATCCCAACTCCCTTCTCCTGCCTACCTCTCTAACCTATATTTTTGTGTGTGGTAAAATACACATAAAATTTATCATCTTAATTATTTTTAAGCATGTAGTTCCATAGTATGAAGGACATTCATGTTATTGTGCAACCATCACCACCATCTCCAGAACTCTTTTCATCTTGCAAAACTGAAACTCTATACCCACTAAACAGTAACTCTCATTTCCCTTCCCTCCAGCCCCTGGCAACCACCATTCTACTGTTTCTATGAATTTGACTACCCTAAGTATCTCATATAAGTGGAATTATACAGTATGTCTTTTTTGTTATTTCACTTAGCATAATGTCCTCAAGGTTCATCCATGTTGTCACATGTGTCAGAACTGTCTTCCTTTTTAAGGTTGTGTAATATTCCATAGTATATATATACTACATTTTATTTATCCATTCATCTGTCAATAGACACCTGGGTTGGTTCCACCTTTTGGCTATTGTGAATAATGCTGCTGTGAACATGGGTGTACGTATAGCTCTTTGAGACCCTGCTTTCAATTCTTTTGGATGTATACCCATAAGTGTAATTACTGGATCATATAGTAATTGTTTTTAATTTTTCTTAAAATTGCCATATTGTTTTCCACAGTGGCTGTACCACTTTGCATTCCCACCAACAGTGCATAAGGGTTCCAATTTCTCCACATCCTCACCGTTATTTTCTATTTCTTTGATAGTAGCCATCCTAGTGGGTATGAAGTGGTATCTGGTTTTGATTTGCATTTCCCTAATGAGTAGTGATGTTGAGCATCTTTTCATGTGCTTGTTGGCCATTTGTATATCTTCTTTGGAGAAATGTCTATTCAAGTCTTCTGCCCATTTTTAAATAGGTTGTTTGCTTTGTTCTTGTGGAGTTGACCTCTCCAACCTCTTTCATGTCACTCTCCCACTTGATTAGTATCTGAGTCATGCACACAGTCTCTCTGTTCCTCAGAGAGAAAGGATCTCTTTCCTATCTTTGCAGTTACTGATCCATTTGCCAGGAATGCTCTTTTCCCAGCTCCTCCCATGACTGGCTTCTCATCCTTTAAGCACCAGCTTAAATGTCACTTCAGAGAAACTTTCTGGCCCACCCATCTAAAGCCATCTCCCTATTTACTCTATCTCATATCACTATTTCTTTCCTTCATGGAACTTAGTCATAACCTGCAATCACCTTATTTGTTTACATACTTACTTGGAACTTATGTTTACATGGGACTTAAGTGCCATGGAGACACAGAGATATTACCTGACATGTTCACTGCTATAACCCCCATGCCTAGCATAGTAGCTGGCTCATAGTCTGAGCTCAATATTTACTGAATGAATGAATCACTACTGGAGGGGGCATCCTAGGGAGAAAGAAAGGTGATGTGGCCCAAATTGGAATTTAACCTCCCTAATCTAGGCTCAATGTTATAGAAAAGGACATACGAGTTTTCTGGCTCTGAGTTCCAGACTTTAATTCTTGAATCAGAAGCACAGTACTATTCGAACTAGGGACATTGCTTTGGAGATGCCCAGGAGAAATGGGGAAGTGTTCTCAGTGTCCACCCAACAAAGGCAGAAGACTGCGGTGGTTTGCCGTGGCCATCCTCACCCTTCCTCATATGCCTGAAGTATGAGTCAGCTCAGCTAAAGTCCTGTGAAATTTGCAGAGTACTTGGAATTCTGGGAATGACTTGGGTTCCATCAGTCTCCTTGGTGCCAAATATGTAAGAGTACCTTTAGTGAGTAGTCAAAAGATAAAAAACGAACTTTCCATACCACAGGACACTAGAAAAATCAAATTTTTTATTTAAAAATATTTTCAAAGGCTAATGCCATAGTGGAACAACCCAAGGATAGTTGAACCAGACTCTCAGGGAATTAGAGGAGCATCAGCCAATGCAAGCAGGTCTGTATAAATACACACAGTTTATAAATGAGAACAATAGAGGGTACACTGGCCCCAGAGGACCAGGCTGGAGGACAAAAGAGAGAAAGAGAGGGCCCTCCAGAGGGACAGGCACAGTCATCCTGCTCAAAGCCTGGCCCCCAAGAGGGCCTCCATACAGGCCCTATAGCATGCCTCTTGCCCTTTCTGAGCCTGGGGCATGGCTGGAGACTAGGTTCACCAGCATCTTGGCACAGCCATCCATGACTTGGCACCTCTCACGGCCTCTGGCTCAACCTAGCAAGGCTCAGAAAATGGACCTGTTCTCCTTGCCCTTCAGCAAGGAGCAGGGAGGGGAGCCACTGGGGCAAGCAGGATTATTTCCCTGAAAATATCATGGAAAGGAGTGATGAAGGGGGCTTGTTCCAAAAACAGCATGGGCATTCATCCAGTGTGGCACTGTGAGGAGAATGGAACAATGAATTTCACCTGAGACATACAGATTTGGTGCAAGCAACCCACAAGGCCAGGCCCAAGCTTAATCCTAGAACCTGGGATGAGGAGAGGATGAAGAGACCTCCAGTCTGAGCATAGGGAGTTATCACCTACTGTCAGTCCCTCCGATCGTCATTTGGCTTTGTCATAAACAGGACAGACAATCGCAACTCTAAAATCAATTTCCACCTGGATTTCTCCCCAATTAACCTCTCAGGTGTCTGAAGAGGGAAAAACAGCAGCTATTTCTGACACCACCCACCCCATCAGCAGTGACTTTCCCTGATATCTGGCCTCCTCACTAAGGCCCTTCCAGAACTTCCAAAGGCACTATCTTAGCAGATAGGAGTCCCAGAGAGAGCAAGCCAGAGTTCTGAGGCACAGAGAAGCTTTTTAGAATAGAGAAGGCCTTGACAGAGAAGGAGGAATCTGTAAGTCAAAGCTATGTCCACTCTTCTCATCCCACTCTTGTCCCCAAAGGTATCAGACAGACCTCCTTGGCCTGGTCCCTGCACTATACCAGGCCCACCTTGGACACCTCTACCTTACTCATGGAGAACAGAGCCCATAGAGTGGAAGACCCTCCTCCACAGCCTGCAACACACTAACTGCAGGTGACATGAGTAAGCTCTGCCCTGTGGTGGTCCAACACAGTCATACCCAGCTGCCTCGCCAAGCCTCTCCAGCAGGCTGCTGTTGGCCCTGCCTGAGATCCAGGCAGTCAGGCAGGGAGTACAGAGCAAGATCTCAAATTAAAGCCACCACCCTTCCCATCCCCTACTTCCCACCTGGGGCACCTTGGAAATGTTTGAGCACACCAGGAGACGATCTACTACCAGGTCTGTGACCATAGTGATCAAAGGCCCTCCTCCACCTATCTCACCAGGGACAGCTGAGGACACAGAATGCTGGACCACCTCTGTTCTCCTTCATAGACCCTGCCACTGTCCCCTGCTGTGGGTAGTGTCCTCCCAGATTCAGCCAGCCTCCTCGTGAGGGGCCAGAACAAAGCCTCAGCACAGAGCATGAACATTCCTCTCTTGCTGGAATCCTGGCCACAAGCCCTCCTCTCTTCGTACATAGCCTGCCCCAACCTCCCTCCAGTCTGCCCTAGGCCTGATAGAGGCCTGGCTCCCTGCAGAGAAGCCTTTGGGCCCCAGAACAAGGACTCTCAGAGGCTCCAATGAGAGCTGGCAGAGTAGTGGGAGAGAGTATGTTGGGAGAGAGCAGAGCCCACACTGGTGGTTTGGGTTCTGGCCCTGTCCCACCACTGGAGTGAGCCATGTCACAGAGAGCCACATTCCAGGTATCCAATCATGGCCTTTGTCCCTTGGGGTGGCCCCTATCGCTCTGCCTGTGTGCCAGAACTGTTTCCGAGGAACAAGTTAATTTTTTTTTTCATTTAAGTGGTTGCTGAAGCTTAGTATACAGAATTCCGCAGCTGTTTCCAAAAATCTGGCTTTTTGTCTGAGTCCCAAAATTACAGGAGCTTTGTAAACGAGTACTTCAGATCACTCATTCAAGGAGGGAGAAGAGTTGTGGGGAGGAAGAGGGATCTGGAATATTTTCCTTCATACTCAGTCTCAGCACAGCAGCAGCAGCATAAACCAAGGGGATCGTAGGTGGAACCTCAGCACCCAGAGCATTCTTCTTGGACGAGTGGGGACAAAGGCCAAGTAGCTGTTACCTGCACACAGGAGACATGCCCAGATCAGAGAAAAGGCCTAGAAGGCAGGCAGGCAGGTCAGTGAACCCTTTCTACCCGCATAAGAGTGAGTCACGGGGCTGGCCCTGTGGTGTAGTGGTTAAGTGCGCGCGCTCTGCTGCTGGCAGCCCGGGTTTGGGTCCCAAGCACGCACCAACACACCGCATGTCAGGCCATGCTGTGGCGGTGTCCCACATAAAGTGGAGGAAGATGGGCACGGATGTTAGCTCAGGGCCAGTCTTCCTCAGCAAAAAGAGGAGGATTAGCATGGATGTTAGCTCAGGGCTGATCTTCCTCACACACACACAAAAAAAAAAACAGAGTGAGTCACAGTGGGATCTGTGTAACCTGCACACTCTGCCCAACCTTGGTTAGGGCCATCAAGCCAGCTTAAGGGCAGGGCCAAGTCCAGCCAGAGTAACAAGCAGCCTGGCCGTAGGTTTTGGCTCCTGTCCTTAACCCTCAATTCCAGAGGCATTAGGAAGAGAAAGGGGATCACCTGTGCCGAGGGGTTGGGCCATCCCAATTCAGTGAGCATAACTGCTGCTCCAGCTGGGAGATACGGAATGCCAGATAGGATGAGGACATGACCAAGAAGCAGATCCTGGAGAAAGATGGGGCAAGAAGGAGTTGAGCCTCTCTTCTAGAAAAAGGGGGGCCGGCTCCGTGGCTTAGCGGTTAAGTGCGCGCGCTCTGATGCTGGCGGCCCGGGTTCGGATCCCGGGCACGCCCCAAGGCACCACTTCTCCGTCCAACTCGAGGCCGAGTCCCACGTACAGCAACTAGAAGGATGCGAACCTATGACATACAACTATCTACTGGGGCTTTGGGGGGGAAAAATGAATAAATAAAATCTTAATAAATAAATAAATAAATAAATAAATAAATAAATAAATAAATAAATAAATAAAAGAAAAAGGGTATTTTTAGAGGCTCATCAATAATAGGAGTAAGGACTAAGCTACTCCTGCAATTGGAGGAATTAAAGAACCCTTTGCCCTGCAGCTATGTTCAGGCCTGGGCGTCTTTCTTCCCAGAGGCCACGGAGGGTCCTGAGACTCATCCGCATGGAGGTGTCCTCGAAGCCTGGCAGGAGTTCTGGGTTCTTCAGCTGAGCCCATCTTCCCTTTGACCAGCCACCTTGGTCCTGTGCCTCCACTGGGAAGCCACTAAGATTACTCCCTAAGGCGGTAGGCCCATTTCTCCAGCAACTGCTGAGGTTAACAGTCAAAACCCAGCCAGCAGGGCCCGGCCTGGTGGCGCAAGCGGTTAAGTGCGCGCACTCCACCGTGGCGGCCCGGGGTTCGCCAGTTCAGATCCCGGGCGCACACCGACGCACCACTTGTCAAGCCATGCTGTGGCGGCGTCCCATATAAAGTGGAGAGAGAGGGCCGGCCCGTGGCTTAGCGGTTAAGTGCGCGCGCTCCGCTGCTGGCAGCCCGGGGTTCAGATCCCGGGCGTGCACCGACGCACCGCTTCTCTGGCCATGCTGAGGTCACGTCCCACATACAGCAACTAGAATAATGTGCAGCTATGACATACAACTATCTACTGGGGCTTTGGGGGGAAAATAAATCTTAAAAAAAATAAAAAAATAAAGTGGAGAAAGATGTAGCCCAGGGCCAGTCTTCCTCAGAAAAAAGAGGAGGATTCGCAGATGTTAGCTCAGGGCCAATCTCCTCACACACACACACAAAAAAAACCCAGCCAGCAGAGCCAGAGGAAGGTAATGAGGTTAGGTGAAAGGAAGCCAGGGGCTGGCTGTTCATAAAACGTCCCACCATGCTCACTACTCTACTGGTCCTTAGGCAGAATTACAGACAAGTCTGGGGTTCCAGAAACTGCCCTAACGGTGGGCAGCAGCAGGAAGGCCCTGGCTCTCTCCGAGTCTATGTGATGGCCCTCTCCAATTTTGCCAGCCCTCCCCCTCCTCAGTCCTGTGCAACTTTTCCTTTTTCAACAGTTTCATATTCTGCCCCTCCCCATTGTGCAGCCTTAACCCTAAATTACTGGTTTGTAAGAATAAAAACTGGAGATATTTTGTCTTGCTACAGAAGGTGTGCCACGTGGCCTCCAGACACCAGCTAGGAGTTGCAGTTGACTCAGACCCTTCCCCTGGCTCTGGACAGTGACCTCCCCACACACCAAGGCCCCTGCTCCAAACACCCAGACACCTGGATTGGTCTGCTCCCTTCCCCCAATATAGTCACCTACAGCACGAAGACGACCTTGAGGAGCAGATAATCCCAGAGCCTCAGATCCCCATCGCTCCTGGGCTCCTTCTCCAGCTTCTCCTCCTCACAGACAGCATTTTCTGCAATAGGAGACCAGTTAGGCATCTTCCTGGGGCAGGCAGGACCCCAGTCCAGCACAGGGCCTGCCCACCTCCCCGTGTTCTCTCAAGCTGCTTGGCTTTCCCTTATGGATTTGGAGAAAGCAGCAGCTCTCAGAAGCCCTGCTGGGGTGATGAACCCTTTTCACAAAAGTGGGAGGAGGGAAAGCCTGGTCTTTGCACGCAGTTACCATGGACAAGCCCCTTGAACTCACCAGACTCTGGAGGCTTCCTGGAGGGAAAGAAGCCGTCTGTGGAGTCCACAGATGCCCGAGGGACACAAGAGATATTGTCTGGGAGGGACAGGGAGCTAGATGCAGGGCACACTTTTCTCCACTTCATCTCAGGGATGAGGACTTCCTGCAGAGAAGGCAGGAGAAGCTGTCTCACCATGGCCCTTGGGATCTTACTTGCCGTAAGGGGCCCACACTAGGTTTATCAAAGCTTTTCCAGATATTACCAATATGGATACCTAGCAAGGCATGGAAGCAGCTACCCAGGAGGGGGAAATCATTGCCATAGCAACCACATGTCTCTCCTATCTGCTCCCTTGCTGTGACCACTCTTCCAGGGAACACATGATGTCTTTGAAGACTGCTAGTGTAGAACCACAGTAGGATCTAAGATGTGAGGCAACCACGATACCTGCTCAGATCAGCTGAGCCCAAGAAAGCTCAGCACAATGTATCTTAGATGGAATAAGTCATGACTCCTTCAAATCTGGGCTCTAATGCTAAGCATGTCACTGACTTTGGCAGGGGGCACTCGGGGTTCCCGTCAACAAAAATGGGAACATCACCTTCTATCCCCAGCATTATACTGCATGCTTGGCTAAATGCTTAATAGTCACTGAAGGAGGCTTCAAACACCCTGGGGTCATTTCCACCCCCCATCCCTGCTCTAGAAACTCAGCTCTGCCTACCCAGAACCCTCGCAGCAAAGCAAACTGCTGGGACCTTCGCACATCTAAACTGAGTCTGTCTGGGTTCTACAGTGATAGCCTTTAGAGTTATTCCCCAAGGATAGCTCTATCCTCTTGAAGGCATCCTGACTCTGCTAAAGGAAAGAGGATGGGTCACTGACTCTGCATCTATACAGGTGTGGAATCCAACCTAGGCAGTATTCCAGGGACTGGACATCTGTTCTGCTCAGAGACTCAGCAAATCTGCCCCCAGGACCTAGTAACTCTGCATGGTATGGAGTGTGGCAGGCTAGGGGACCCCCTGGCCAGCATGGCCATTGGCTCATGAGCCTGGCACCCCAGTTCTGCATTGTAGGCCCCTGCCTGGGAGGCCCTGAAGCCTCAGAGCCACCAGCGATCTCAGGGCAGCAGCTTTTGCTCTCAGCCTCAGCTCTCACCAGAGACTGGCACTTAGGTTCCTCTGGAAATTCTCTTACACTCAGACTCTTCTTGCTGGAAGGCTGAGGAGAAAAGGGAACAGGGGTCACTTGTCTATCTGGAACAGCCAAGGTCAGGCATGGGGAGGTGCTAGCCCTCTCCAAGAGAGCTTTCCCTCCAAATAAGCCACTTTAGGTCAGATGGAACGTAGCTCCCAGAGTCTGCAGGGGGCCCTCTAGTTAATTCTGGAGCAGAGGGCAAATCCAAGGCAACGTACTCCCCCATGCTGCTGCCCCTCCCACCTTCTGCACCACAGGCCAGAGAGAGTTGTAGGCATATTGAGAAGCAGCCATGTGCTCCTGTCTGTCCTTATGCTGAGGAAGCACGAGTGAGGGCATATACATGGGGACACACAAGGTCCCACTGGCCTCAAAGAGACATGCTCACAAGCATAGACACATAGTCCAAGGACTGCCTCTGATACACTGAGCCTAAGCCTGTAGTCCCCTCTCCCTGCCCCTGCTCCCTGTGCTGGAGAGATGGGCCAATCTCCCCCCAACAGCCTTGTCCCAAGACCCCAGTCCCCGCTAGCCCAGCTCCTGCCCCTGAGCTCCATACCTGTAGGTGGGTGCACACCCTCCTCAGCATGTCATATACACTGTCCCGGGAGAGCAGTGACACAAAGACATACTAGGACATGGAAAGAAAACAGAAAGGGGTAGGGTGATAAAGACTTGAGAGTGTGCCAGAGTCAGGCTATGGGTTCCTGGGGCTCGGTTGGGGAGACTGACAAGGGAGTGCTGGCCCAGAGACTCACTGACCTTCTGGCTGGTGTTGGTGGTGATGGCCAGGCCATTGGGAAGGAGCCGCGCCATCTTGTGTTTTTTGATCATTTGCACAGAGACCACGGGAATGACCACCTGAGAGGGGAAAAGCATGCTTCCCTCAAGACTCACCCCCAAGGACATGGTCCCTTTGCTTCCTGCATAGGGCCCCAGCCACAGCTGGCAGTAAGCCAAGCATGGACACCATGAAGAAGCCTGGCCCCATGTGGGAGAGTATCTGAACCTTCCACCTTCTCGTGTAGGCTTCCGTTCCACTTATCCCCAGCACCCCACCCCAGCTTTGGCAGCACACACCACTCTGGGCTCTCATCCTAATCCCACACTCTAGTAATGGAGTTCCCTGAGCTACCTCCTGGCCACACTTATGGCCCCTCCTAAGTGTGACATCCCACTCTGATTCTGAAGGCATTTCAGAGGTACCCATAGGCAGAATAATCTGGCTGTGAACTGGTCAGGCCAGCTCAGGCCAGATGTAGCGTCTAGACTGGGACCCCTGTTTTGGAAGGGGCAGGGTTACTCCCCTGGACACCGGATGGGATGCCTCACAGCTGCTCATCCAACCAGTGAGAGGCTTCACCAGCACGCAGAGAGACAGGCATGACCTAAGGTGTGTGTGCAGGGCAGGGGGTTGTGTCTTCCCTGGCCTGGGGCCTCACTGGGCTATGGCAGCCCTTACCACTCATTACTACCTTGATATCCTTGCCAAATAGGTTGGCATGGAAGCAGAGCCAGTTGGGGGAGATGTAGAGCCGGCCCTGGAGGAGGAGGTCCCTCTGGAGGGCACAGGAGCACACTGGGAAGTCACAGGAAAGAAGACCACCATGAGCAAGGTCAGCAGGAAAGCCCCAGGGCCTGGGTCCTCACACTTAGGAGTCCAGAGTCCAGCCTCAAGGACTGTCTTCCTCAGAATCCTCCTTCCCAATCCCAGGCCCCAAACAACCCATTCCCCCAGCACCCCAAGAGTCCTTTCCTGAGAATCCTGACTGCCCCCACCCCACCCTACCAAACTGCCAGATGTTTCCTCTTTCTCAAACCATGCCCCAAAGGGTCCCCCAAGCCTGGACTCTCACTCCCTTAGGCAGAACCCCTTGCCCTGCCCCGCCCTGCCCTGGAGAGAGGGCCTTGATTGTGCAAATGCTCCCACATGCTCAGTGAGAGGCCTGAGAATAGTCATTGATAAGAGCAGAACAAAAATTAGATTTGGAAGCCCTGACATTTCCTCAAGAAAACCTTCATAAATTAAATTTCATATCCCAAACCAGCCCAGCCTTCTCATACTTTTGAAGAAAAAAAGATGAAGCACATCCAAAGGGCAGCCAGTTCCCCTATCTAAATTGTGCTTTGGAGGCTCCAGAGGAGAGGACTTGGGCCTCGGGCACTATAGGCGCCTGTCCAGCCACACCAGGGAGACGGCTCACCTTTGAGAACCACCTCCTCCAAGGGGATGTCCTTAAACAGCTTGTGGTATTGCTGGTTGTATTTACTCAGTAATGTCTGCAAACACACGGGCTGGGTCTGAGAAGTCCTGGGAGATCAGTCCACCAAAGGGGCCCTGCTCTAGCCACCAGGAAATAATGCCACAGAGGCCCCCCCAGGGACTTAGCATGAAGCAGCCAGTAAGCAGTCAGTGGGCGTGGAGGGCTGAGTTCCAAGCACAGCTTGTCTCCTGGTGATGCTGGGTCCTGACAGGCAGCCTATGACTGGAGGGGAACGCACCACTCCCACCCAGGAGAGGACACCCACTCAGGTTTCCTGGTGACAGGCCTGGTGGCCAAGGAGCCAACAGTCACTGAATTCAGGCAGCCTAGGGCCCCTCCCTTGGTGGACAGGGAGAAGTCAGCCTCCACATACTTACCGCATCTCGGCTGAACTTCTTTATCTCTTCACCCTTCAAGCCTTCGGGCCAGTGCAGACTGCAAAGGAGACATTCCATTCCAGAGACAAGGAACCCTCAAGACCTGCCCACGCATCCTCAGTGCCAATTCTGCCCTGGCTTCAAGCCAGAAGCTTAGGGCAGAGATTGGAGACTAGGGCCCTTCTCTAGTGGCCACAGCCAAGTGATAAGCACAGTAAGCACATAGCTCGACCCTGGGGAAGGGCATTCCTGGCTGCAGGGAGGGGTCACTGAGAGCCCTCCCCAGACAGGTGTGAGCAGTGGCCACCCAAGATGAGCCTCAATCTCCAAGATATGCTTAGGAGTCCCCACCCCTGGGTGTCAAAAACCCTCTCCCATTTCTCTGGCCAAGGGGTAAGCAGAAGAGCAGACCCAAGAATAAATGAGCATAAAGCACAGGGATGGGGACCAGTTTGAGGAGTAGGTGAGATGGAGGTGTCTGACTCACAGCTCCGGGGCCTGGCCATGGGCCATGATCCCAGCAGGACTGCCCGCCTTGCGGCCTTCTCCCCGCCGAGCTCTGCAGTGAGGAGCTCAGCAGACTCACCTGACCTGATGGATGTACTAAGGCTGGGGGAGAGGGGTGGTGCTGAAATGCAAACCTTTGCCCAGGCCAGGTTTGCTTGAGGACAGGTGGGCAGGGAGGAGGCTGGTAACCGGAGAAGCCTGGACTCTGCTAGGTCCCAGTGCACTGGGACAGGCCTGGGAGTGGGAGGAAGAGGCCCTGGGCAGCCTATGCCAGACCTAACACCTTAACTCAGCCTCAAGGTCCCCTTTCTAACAGGTCACATCCTGGGGGCTTCCTACCCACAATCTGTATGTATAGCTGACCAGGAGGGGGGCCTCACCCGGAGTCCAGGGGTGCCTGAACCCTGTCTAGTTTCTCTGTGCAGGACACAGGGCTCTTCGGAGAGGCCGTCTTTCCACGCATCTGTTGGTTGCTAAGGAGAAACAGGCCTACATTAGGAAGGGAGGTTTCATGGGGACACCTTTCCCTACCGGCTCCACCATGCTCAGGGCAGCTACCTCTGCCCCCACTCAAGACTGGCCCTGACATTCAGGGTGAGGCTGAAGATGTCACAGTCTGGAGGCAGCAGCTCAGGCAGGGGTTCTGGGGCAGCTGACGGAGGAGGGAGTCTCACACACCGTCTTTCTTGGAAGCCTGAAGCTCAGTTTATGCCTGGGCCGGAAAGAAAATCAATCTACCTCATCCCCAACACCAGGCAGCTGTTAGGCCAGGGGGAGTTAGGCCTCCAGCACCACCCTTGAGAAGGCACATGGGAGGTAGGACTCTGAGACTTGCTCACGACTGAAAGCAAAATTTTCTGAGGTGCCCGGGCAGCAGTACCATAAACTGTCAGGTTCTCGGAAAGGTCACTGAACACAGGAGGCCTTATCAAAGCTGAGAGCTAATGCAGTTGATGGTGTGGGAGTGGACTCCAGTCAGCCCACAGGTGAGTGTGGGCTGAGAGGGGAGAGGCTGTCCCACAACAGGAAGCGGCCTCAATCACCTTTGGACCATCAGGGCAGCTTGGCCCTGAGAGCCAAACCATCTCAAAAATGTCCCAGAGAGAGCCAGCCCTGATGGCCTAGTGGTTAAAGCTCGGCACTCTCACCACTTCAGCAGTTCGGGTTCATTTTCCCAGTCGCGCAACCACACCACCTATCTGTCAGTTGCCATGCTGTGGCAGTGGCTCACATAGAAGAACTTACAACTAGGATATACAACACTGGGGCTTTGGTGAGGGGGGAAAAAAAAAGAGGAAGATTGGCAACAGATGTTAGCTCAGTGTGAATCTTTCCCCGCAAGGAGGCTGGGGGGAATGTCCCAGAGAGAGGGCCCAGGAGGGAGGAGACACCCTCTCTCTGGGCAAGTGAGAATCCCAAACGGCCTGGGCAAGTAGGGGATCCCAAATGGTTGTATATCCTAGTTGTAAGTCCTTCTAGTTCTTCTATTCACGCCTCCACTAAACAGCTCCAAAGCATGAGGTTTCCCATTTCCTGCCCCTCCAGGGCAGACAGGCTAGGAATCAATAAAGCCTGAGCAGTCAAATTAGCCCCCAGCTGAGCGGGCCCAGGGGCTGACAGGACGAGAGGTTGGCCAAAAAGCAGAGCCAAGACAGGACAGTGCAGTAGTCCCAAATAGGTAGCAAGGTCCTGTGCACTGGTATCTTAGCAGATAAGGAGCTAGAACCTGGAGCCTGCAAATCCCGGTGCTCGGTCACTCTCAGCTGTGTGACTAGGGCAAGTCGAAGTTCTCTCCTTCAAGAACCGAGTTACCGGGGCCGGCCCTGTGGCTTAGCAGTTAAGTGCTCGCACGCTGCTGCTGGCGGCCTGGGTTCGGATCCCGGGCGCGCACCGACACACCGCTTCTCCGGCCATGCTGAGGCCACGTCCCACATACAGCAACTAGAAGGATGTGCAGCTATGACATACAACTATCTACTGGGGCTTTGGGGGGAAAAAATAAAAATAAATAATTAAAAAAAAAAAAAGAACCAAGTTACCGACTCAGCCAAGATCTCCCAGGATCCTCAGAGATTACTAGTCTGACCCCCTCCCACCGTACCAATTAGGAAACTGAGACCAACCAAGGGACAGGCTGTACCCAGTGTCACCCAGAGCCAGATACCCTCACCCACTAAATCAGCCCAGCCACAGCCATGTGGCCTGGTGACCTCTGTCCTCAACCTAATGGAGGGTTTTGGTACACACATCAACATATATTTCCTGAATCTTGCAAAGTGACAGGTTGTGCCAGTGATTTGACCCTTTGACTCCCAACATTAATTTCTGGGTTTATTTGGTTCCATTGTTTCACATTTCACAGAGGTTTTTGTTGTTGTTGTTCCCTCTTCATTTTTTTATGCTCATTATAGAAAATGAGAAACATAAAACATATAAAATATGATGATCAAAATCACCCATAAGAAAAAAAATCCCACAAAAATCACTCAAAGAAAATATTTATGCACAAATATATAATTTATGAGTGGGATTATATATCACATAATTTGTACGCCCTACTTTTGTTGCTTAACATGATCTCATGAGAAATTTCCCATGTCACTGTCCATTCCTGGGATAGTCTCAGAAGTGAAATCAGTGGATTGAGAATGAACATTTCTCAGACTCTTTAGACCCACTTCCAGAATGCTTTCCAGATGCTATACCAGTTAACATGGCCATCAGCACGATATGAGGGTGCCCATTCCCTACATCCAAGCCCTAGAATGATATTATCTTTATCTCACCTTTGCAAATTTGATAGGTGAAAATATATTGCTTTCATTTCTATTTCTGCTTACTGGTAGAACAGTTTTTTCTAAATATATATTAACCATTGGAATTCATCTGTGAATTGTCTATAAAGATCTTCATGTTTTTCTTCTTGATTTGTATAAATTCTTTATTGAGAATATTAATCCTTACTTTTATCATTTTTGCAAATATTTTCCCCAGTTTGTCATTTGCCTTTTAGTTTTGTCTGGTATTGTTCCTGTACTTGTGTTTAATTTTTATGTGGTAGATTCCATCCACCTCTTCCATCTCTCTGTTCCTTACTTGGTGTAAGTGCTTTGTGTAAGAGAGGCCCTTAAGGCGAGGCATGTACAAGTCAAACCTTTGAGCCCTGAGAGAGCTGGAGCCCTGAAGCCCATGAGCCCACTGGGCCACAGGGACGAGAAGGGCATGCAGTCTGCTCTAAGGAACACTCCAGCCTGGAGGAGCAGGGATAAAACAGGAGCCTGAGGAGGAGAAGGAGCTTGGCCTGTGGTTTCAGAGGCAGGGAGCCTGTCACTCAGGCACTGGAGAGTGTGATTCAAGTTGTCAGAGCTGCAGGAGCTCAGAGGATACCTAGATCCCATAGAGTGACAGAGTCACAGAAGGGCTCCTGGAGAAAAGGAAGCTGAGCCTTACCAACTGCATAGGACTCTGATCTTGCCTGGATCCCATAACCATGCCTTTGAATGGATTCCAAACCAAACTCATCCTTAGTCCAAATGTGACTTTCTCCAGGAGGGGAGCCTTCCCTCGGCCCTCCCCCAGCCTAGTGAGGGGTCCCTGCTGCAGGCACTCATGGCACACTGATCACACTGTGCGGTATGCTCTAACTGTCCATCTCCAGGCGCTCCAGGACATCGGGGACTGCCTCCTCCATCCCTGAACCCCCTGAGCACAGTGCAATGCCAGCATGCAGCAGGCCTTTGGGGAATGTTTGAGGAATGACTGTGTGCAGCCAGCGTAAGTGAGGTAAAGAGCAGAGGCTGCAGGACAGACGGACCATGAGAATAACAAAAGGCCGTACCCATTGCCCACAGCATCTCCGTGAAGAAAACAACAGTAATAAATGGGAGTCACTTGGGAATGCATGATTTTCAAATATCTTCAAATTAAAAGCAACCCCTTTACTAGTGATCAACAGGATGGTTACAAGCTGTTCCTTCATGTCCATCCATTCGAGTCGGTCCCTCCTGATAATGCTGTTGGTATAGAGACCCTCCTGTGGCCAAAATGCACTGCTTTCAATATTATATTCAATTCGGACTTTTTGCTATAATTAGTCTTCCCCCCCTATAGTGTTTGTTTAGATGAGTGAAAAGAAAGAAATGGGAGCAATGCCAGATAAAAGTATCTGGGGTGGAGTGGTCATCAAGCATTCACCAACGGACCAGTCAAGTGGGGTGGGGGTTGGGGGGCACCCAAGGACCAGCCGGGCCCCACCCAGAGGGCCAGGAAAGAGGCTTCACAAGCAGGGAGCTGGAGAGTGGGGAACCAGCCCAGCTCAGCCCGGGTCCCCCCACCCTGCTGGCAGCCTCCGTCCATTTCCACAGAGAGTTCCTCGAGCTAGCTGCTCTTCCTCTGTGGGTTGTGAACTACACCCCCTGCCCATCCATTCCTATCCCACATCCACGTGCAGACTGTGGAGTTAATATCAAGGGGTCTTCAAATCCATATCTATTTTTTTCAATCAAAGCCACAAAAAGGGCCAGCCCCGTGGCCTAGTGGTTAACTTCGGTGGCTGGGATTCAGTTCCCAGGCACGGACCTGCACCACTGTCTGTTAGTGGCCATGCTGTGGTGGTGGCTCATATACAAAAAGAGGAAGATTGGCAGATGTTAGCTCAAGGCAAATCTTCCTTAGCAAAAAAAAAAAAAAAAGAAAGAAAAGAAAAAGCCACAAAAAATATTCTTATTGTCATGAAGGGGATGGAGCAGGGGAAGCCCAGTATTTTTGACGTTAAAGGGGGGTAGAAAAGGTTAGAAAACTCAGATGAGATGCTTTCACCCTGCTGAGCCTGATCTGAAGCAGGAATGCCTATCCGGAGGACACAGCAGGTGCCTGCCCTACCCTCAAGCCTCACTGGCCGGTGAGGGAACTCAGGCCACCTGCCATTCCTTCATTCCTTCCACAAATACTTACTGAACTTATCACACCATGAGCCCGGTGTGGGGCCTGCCCAGCCTGGAGGGCTGCTGAGAGGGCAGGGATAGGCAGCTAGCACTGGGAGATGTCAGGAGAGGAGCCAGGCCCATCAAGAAAGGAGAGACAGAGAGGGTAGGAGAGGGAGAGAGAGGCAGTGAGCAGGGAACCCAGAGACTCAAGAGTCAAGCTGCCTCCTGCAGACCTCATGGACTAGGCCCCAGGGCACACGTGACACGTGCACTCTGCTCTGGATGCTGTCCCCAGGCTCAAAATTCTCCCACCGGGCAGACACTCCCAAATCTACATCTCTAACCTTGACACCTCATCCTTGCCACCTAGACGAATCCATCAAAATGAGCTCAGCATCATCCCCCCAACCTGCTTCCTTCTGAGCACCCGATATCCCTGAAAGGGTCCATCCTCCACAGTTACCTAAATCCTGGACTCATTCTTCTCCCCACCGCCACAACCCATCAGTCCCCAAGGCCCTGAGAGCCTTACCACAACTTACCCCATGATACCATCTACTTTCTCCATTCCTGCTGCACGTGCCAGCCCAGGCCACCATTGTCTTTTTTCTGGATGCTGCAACACCCTTTTAACTAACCCTGCCCCAGCCTTCTCCTCACACATCTGGCCTGCTCCCGCATCCACACGGCCAACAGAGCCATCTGGGGCCCAGATCTGATCCTGCCCCTCTCCTGCTGACCCTCCTTCTTTAGTTCCCTCTCACATCCTCAGCTGGCCTTCCTGACC